ACATTTTTAAAGGTAAAAATGCCAACATTTTTCTGACTCCGGCCTCTTAAATATGAATATGTTATGGTTTTATTAGCCTTATATAACTTAGACAACTAAGACATATTTGGTTCTAAGACATGGTTTACTATTTTCTATTACTAAATGATTGAACAAGAAAATAAGTGATAATGAAAATAATCATTGGCAGCCTTTGTAAACATCACTATATCCAGGATTTGGCACAATTGATTCTCCCAATCTACTGACATTATGATATTCCTCCCAGTATAAGATTCAGGGTAGGTTTTACTTAGTTTCCTTTTTTCATTGTAAATATTTATGTAACACAAGCAGGAGTACTGTAAAAGTCCTTTATTCAACATTTTGTTTCAAGGCTTAGGGGAGGGGGGTTCAACCAAGGGCAGCATACTTGGGGAGGTCTCTACTTAGTAAAGTCCATTTGGGGGAAATAACATTTATAATAAAAACGTTGGCCTTCTACATTGCATTTGGCTTCCAAAACTTGCCCATAAATGGTATATCCAATGTGACCATTTGACTACTTCTACAATTTACTGAACTATCTTCCAAAACGAACCAAAAAAAAGAAAAGAAGTCAGCCCTTTCGTATTTTTCCTCCAAAGTCGTATAAGTAGCAGTATTAAAGAAAACAAGGTTTGTATTTAAGACTGCAGTCATTTGTGTCCTGTGGAGAATGTCGACAGTTTGCACCTCAGCATCAGATGTCAGCAGATTTTGATAAAAGTTTGCATCAGTCCCATCCACATAAAGAATGTACATATCAAGATTTTGTCACTTGAAAAAAACACGAACCGAGGCGAAATAATTTGTGCTCCCTGGAAACCGGTTCTTTTCTTCGTGGTCAGGTGTAGCGGGCAAAGAAAAAGATGGGGGCTGCTGTGGTCCAGAGTTGAGAAATGAGATTGGCATTCTGTGCTAGACTGGCCAACAGGGCTGACTTTCTGGCTGATGGAGGAAAAGTTCTCGAGGAAAATGGGTGGAAAGAAGTGACTGGACCGCCATGGAAAAGACTAGGACTTCTTGGAGTCCTGTGTGTTACGTTTCTTAAGGTCGCTCAGGTCCACTGGCGTGAAAGCTGCAAGAGCAGACAGAAACAAATTGTTAACTGGCCTGTGCCTGAGTAATGTTATCCTTTATTAAAATACATTTCACGTCACTACTAAGTTACACTGTTACTGATGGGAAAATACTGAATGAGCTCATTCAAAAATACAGAAGTGCGCGTGTAAACTGAGGTCCAGGCATATGACAATGTATATGAACGGGTGTTAACCCTCAATGGAGATAAGCGTGATACGCTGTTACAGGCATGTGATAACTATGTGACAATGTTTAGCCTCTGGGGAGATAAGCATGAGACAAGCATGATCATCACTGACGTGGGCCTGAGCTATCTTGAACAAAGCATAGAAAACTGCTTTAAATCAGTATTCTTCAACCTTGTGTCTGTAAAATGCCCTCTCTTGTATAAGTGAGTGATAGAAGCTGTTCGAGGAACTAGTTGAACATATGTCTGTATGTAACTACTTTTTCCATTCTTGCAAGAAACAAAGTGTAACCTGATTATTGATTCACAAGCCGGTGCCTACTGAGATGTTTCTAACAGTTACTTACAATGTAGGTTAGGATTTGGGTTCTTTTCCACATACTCCTGTGGTCCACGGTCATTACGTTCGCTATTTTGTGTTGATCTGATGTCTCGGAGCACACACTGCCAGGCTGTGAAGGAGTAGAGACAACAATACATTTAGGAAATGTTATCCTACCCTGCAGACTTGTAAGTAATGACATGGTAAGAAAGACTGAAGGTTAATAAGATGTTGGACTTAATAAAAGATTACGTAATTATGTATTTATGTATGTGATTTGTTACTTGAAAACTCATTCTAAGAGTGCCTAAATGTCAGTTCTAAGAGTGGGCAAATCAAAATTGGCTGATCTAGTTCTACTTTTTATAATGATTGTTGAAGTGACCAGCAATTGAAAAGCAATCTGATGAATGGTCTCTGGGTATAAACACTACCCTGTCCAAGTACTTAGACCAACCTGTTTTCCTGTGAGTGCATCACTTTTTTATATCTTGGGCATGTGCATGAGGTCTGGTATGCAAGCGTGCACATACATACAACATCATTTTATAATATTCAACTAATCCACATGTTTATTTTCAATGGATTTCAAGGATATATACAATGAGATTTGACTGTTTCTTACCAAATGTAATTGGCGTGACACAATCAAATTAGTAATGAGATTTGGTAGAGAACACGAGAAAACTCCACAGGGAACCTTTGAAATCCACACATTAAAAAAGGTGTGGTTCTTTCTGCATCGCAAACAATTTAAATACATTAATCAAGGAGTATCAGTATCAGTGTTGAGGATGAGAGGGGGTTAGGGTTGTGGCCTCCTGCATTGATGAGGGAAAGCGGTGTTGTAATGCCATTGGTATTTATTGTGTCCGCTCGTTCCATTGGACACATAACCTGTTTTGAAAAATGCTGAGATGAACAAAATGATAAGGAGTGTGTAGACAACCTGAGTTGACCATCACTATACACAGAATCTAAACACACATTATAGTTAGATTGTTTCAATGGGCCTTTATTGAGCTCTTTACACATTGCATTAGTTTATATACTAGTTGTGATAGATCTAATATTCAGTTACTTATACAAATAAATTATTATATGTCAATGTAACAATGCATACTTACTATCATGTATAAAGCGCACATTTTCCTCATGTGCTGGGGTGAAAAGCTCCCCTGTGTTAGTAGGGGATCGGGGGCTCGAGGTCCGCTTGTAACTATTCACCATCCTGGGAGCAGATGAGCTTCACAAACATACAAAAAAATTAAAATATCAGCATTAATAAATCAAATGAGTCTTTAATTGTTTAACTCTGTGTTATTAAATTAAACGTCAGTATAATTTACTTCCGTATCTCAAATCTGAAGCACAAAATATACCCACATTTACATTTCAATACATTTAAATGACCACTATCAATACTGGTCTATTTGTATCTGAGCACTATAACACACCTGGTCATTCTGTTTGCAGTCTGTACTCGCTCCACGCTCCTCTATGGTGAGTGGATTTGAAGAATAAAAGATCAGAAGTCTGCAGCTGAGATCTAAAAACAGTGTCAAGTATTAAATCTCCACATGAGGGTCAGAAAATAACAAATACCTGCTTTATTGCATAGGAAACAAAGATGACATGATTACGGTCTATACGCTTGTTAACAGAATATATGATATCACAGCATTTTGGCCATGTAGGTATGATTGAACTCCTTATTTTTATTCCCACTCACACAGAAAAAAATCTTTACAATTTGTGCCGTAAAGCGTGAAACATGATTCCTCAGAATGTAGCTGGGGATCCTTCATTTACCTCCCCAACAAAGTATATTTTGCATGATTATACAGCTGACTCGTGATTATTACTGAAAATATATTGTGTTATAATTGTGTTGTATCGTTAAAAAGTCTGTGTGAAGGATTCATATCATTTACCACAATGTATAAACACAGGTCTGCATTTAAATAAACACCTAAAAAGTATTATTAACAGTACATTAGTGACACTGCTGGTTAGTCAACAGATGCATCTTCAAGCTACCTACTAGTCACAACCAATAAATATAATCTAAAGAGATCTGATAAGTAATATTAGTAACCATGTGAATTGTGTCAAAGTTTTTAACGTGAACTCATGTTTATATAGACATGGTTTGCTGTGTGTCGGTAAATGAACAAATATGGACGTTAGCAAAGCAAGCGGCTTTTGTTTACGTTTTCACTTATGTTGTGTTAGCATCAGGATAAAAAGCAAAACCCAACACATTAACCACTGCTCCAATTATTGTGATCAAGAATGTTTTACGTCGGTTATAATAATTGGGATTCGTGTTCCCTTATAGCTTTGCCCTTAACAGCTTACTATAGAATTGCTGACACAATACTGTCGGCTAACATTAGCAAGCTAGTTAGCTAGCTAGCCGGACAATTTACATTGTCTTGTCGTAACGTTAGCTTCGATCAGCTAATATTTTCCTGTACCGAAATATGTATGAGAAAAACACGTTGCGTAGATATAACAACCCCCAATATGTAGATTAAAGGACACACTGTTAATATGTTCAACAAACCTTTTTTATAACCCTTGCTTTCGTTTTCTTTATTCAGAGAGTGTGTACGCCGTTAGACCTGGCTAAAACGTTGCCAATGCCAACCAATCATTTCCGGGAAAAGACCAAGGAACACGGAAGTGAAAGCGTTCTCACAATTACAATAAAGTAATGCATAATATACAATTAATGTTTGACAGTCCCTCTCTTTCGGTTGAGGTATTTCTTCGAAAAAGGCTTGTGCACACTAGCCATTTTTCTTTAAAAAAAATCAACTACTACATTAATTTCAGGATGTCAGGAATATCATGATATGAATTTGTTATTATTTAAGTGTTTAGGCAACAGCAGCAGCAGCAGCAGCACTGATTGGTTTGTTGTCAACATTTGTATTAACACTTTTAATGCTTTTATTGCCTCTGTTGATTTTGTGAAATGTTTTAAGGATAGGTATAGATTGTGAGGATACGGAATAGGATTAGGGCCTCATGAGAAAAAACATTTGGGATGTGAACAAAATAAAAAATGATGTTGAGTTCTGACTTTAATCTCAGAACTCACATTTATTTTTTAAACTTTTGGTCAAAAAAATCCAGTGTGGCCCTTATTCTCTTCCGTTTGAGGAAAATAAATATTATAGGAATGGCTTTTTAAAGTTTTTTTTTATTGTATGATGTTCTTGTTGCTATTGTTTTTAGGAATTCTGTGACTAATAATGTTTCACACACAAATAGGAGGGCTGAAAATACATGGTGGTTGCAATCCTGGTGTGTGCTCTCATAAATGACACAACAGTCACATTTATAAAATATTTCTTTATTTATGAAAATGTACAAAAATAATAAGACTTTCATTGCTGACATTCATATTTCTACTACAGAAAACAATAACAATGCATCAGGAAAAATACTGCAGCAGTAAAAGTGCTTATACAGCATAAACGTGATGTGTATGTATTTATTTATGACCATCAAGTATCAATTATCAATTTAGCTGATCCTCTCTCTGCCCAGCAGTGAGGATACATAACTCCATCGGCCCATCTTCTGTGTTTTCAAGTCAATATGCAATAAAATAATAGTTTGGAAACATACAGTCTTTGGAGTGCAACCAGCTACTTAAAGAGTAACACCTACACAATTGATAGAATACTAAAACTGATTAATGTAATTCAAGAAAGAATATTATATATGCTTGAGCTGAAAATGAAAACAGGCAATTATTGCAGATTAACATTTGCAGCACTGGCATTATAACAAATACACCCAAAACAAATACAAAAAGAAACCAGCATGAATAGAAGTGCAGCCCAATCAATTATTGCTTTAAGGCTGCAATTACAAACAAAAACAAAGCGGGATCACTTTCTTTCTTTTCAGGATCAGAAACTCTGGCTATGTTCTTCCACCCTGTTGTCAGTCTGTTTGGTATTGCACTTGGTTTTGAAGCTCTCTCTTGGGTCCATCATTTTGTACCAAATCACACACAGCCCGTCTCAAACAGTTTGACCAGCTCTTTGCAGTCTGGGTCAATGAGGTCCGCTGGCTTCTCTCCGTTTTCGTTCTCTGCCACTGTGCTGGCTCCCGTCGATAGCAGATATCTGAGGGGAGAATGAAGCAGCTCATTGTTACATTCAGATATTTATATAAAGACATGCAATAGTTTATTATACTGTACTACTGCAACAGATGTTCCTCAATGTGTGTGATTTTTCAGTGTTTCACTCTCTCGACTGTCAACTTTCAGTTTCAGTGTTCACTTATAAGTGAAGCTGTATGTATTGAAGATCAGTTACATAATTTACTCGTTTGAATATAATACAAAACAAAACATCTCCCTTATATTTGACATTTAAATTCTCCCTATTGAATGATTCTCCACTCCCTGGGTTATGTGGATTGTTAAGAATGATGTCACCAATTCATTTGTGTGTTATTATTGACAATGTTCAGAGTGAAACTAGTAGCTTAATGGTTATAACAACAGAAAGGTCATTGCAACCAGGTGACCTCATCTTATATTAATATCTTATATTTAATATCTTATATTTAATGTATGAGTATTTCATAGACAATGTGCAATATTCCCCTGTGGTATTTGTTCAATATTCAATTCAAAGACAAACGTTTTGCAGTCGTATTCAATAATCAAACTTCCCTTTGCTTTGCTCACACACTCTGACTAGCGCATAAGACAATAGTTGCATAAGCTACTTTAACTCATTTTCTACTATTTACTGACAATTGAAAAATCATGAACCATCCCTATATTTGAGAAATCAGCTGCAGATGATAACATTTTATATTTCTATTCTGTGCTATTATCAGTGTGCTGAAAAAAGGAGAGCATGATCGGTCAAGACTCAAAGGTTAAAAGGTCACCTGGCAATTTCCGGGTAGCCGTCACTGCAGGCCATGTGAAGTGGCGTCCAGCCGTCTTCGTCTCTCTGATGAACATCGGCGCCGTATTTCACCAACAGCTTTACCACCTCCAGGCTTCCAGTTAGCACGGCTTCGTGAATTGCTGCCATACCTGTACAACGAGCTAAGTTAGTCCTGTGCAGCAGTTCAAGTCAGTTATTAACATCTTAACAGTTTAAAAACCTCGATCCTGATTGGCTGGCACTAATTCCAATCTCAAATCAAAGTTCCAAATTGTGTGAAAATGTGATACAAATTAAAAGTTGTGGAGACTTACCGGAGTGGAAGATTGTATCCACACGGACCTTCCTGGCTCTCATGAACCGCCCAATTTGCTCCATATCTCCTCGCCTTACAATATCCTGGAAGATGATGTCATTGGGGAAGTGTACAGTTCTCTTTGCAGGTGCGACGGGTATCACAGGCGCAGGTTTTTCCTGCGCTTGTGTGCGCTGTGTTGAACTGTCCCGTGCCCCTTTGCTGTAGGAGGGGATGTACGTCGCTGCCGACTTGTAAGTGGACGTGTATAGTGACGGGGTGTATTTGGTGCTGCTGTACTGTGTTGGGGTGTACTTTGCCGTTGAGGTATATGCTGATGTGTAGTTGGGTGTAGTTGATGTGTAATGTGTGGGAGTGTGATAGGTAGGTGTGTATGACGGTGTGTACTGTGACGTCCGTGTGGACGACGGTACATGGTAGTTGTACTTCATCCCTGCGATGGTTGCGGCCTCCCCCTTTGCTGTGGGCCCAGGAGGAGGAAAGTGAGATATCCAAAGAGAACGTACCAATCCAATTAAAATCCTTTCGCTCTGTGTCCTTTTTGTCCTTTCCTCACTTGTATCTGTTATCCCTTTAGTTCCCAGCTGGAGTATCTCCTGCTGCAGAATACACGCTTCACAAATCCTTTGCTTCACTATGATCCAATCTTTTAGCTCGTTTGGTCCTCGTTTTCTTGCCCTCTGTGAATTTCTCCCATCTGTATACGAATATGTTTTGCACAGTGTGTTTGCTCTTGCACAGAACCTTTGTCTGATGGGGAACGTGGGAGAGGGTCCCTATATACCCTCTGTAGGGCTATTTTAGGACCTAATATCCAGTGACTTCAGCTTACAAATGAGTGGCCCTTGTCCGGCTCCTCCCTCTGACACTGCGCTCCCACCCCTCATAAAAAATGTTGACAACCCAAATGTTCCCTACTTGAGAACTTCCCACAAAAACATCCCAAAAACTTTGATTGATATCAGAGCTAAATATCTACAGTAAAGGAAAACTATTCCTCACATGCACAGCAGGCTTTTTTATTTTGGGTTATTAGATATTGTTATGCGCCAATTTTCTGTGAATCACGTTGTTTTTGCTTCTATTAATGACAGAGGTATTACAGTACAAATAAACAACAGCACATGATTACATGTTGCCATGTTGTTGATCTGCTTACTGCATAGTTGATGGTGCAATATAACCTCAGTTAGCCCCGAGACATTCAGGATTGATTAGAAAACATATACATTCGTACACCTACTTACAACATAGAGATCATTAGGTAGTGTTTCTAAACGGTTCTCCTCATGTGTCCCATTGACCCGTAGGTTCGTCATGTGAGACTTCGTGCTTGCCCTTTACATCATAACCAGATACACCAATACAACTCACTATGAGAGTGTAGTCATACCCAACTCAGGCCCTAAATGTAACCTCTCCTTTTAAATGCTGCTGAAAAGTCACATGGTTGCAAGAAACATAGCTATTTACAACACTAAACTTTCGCTTTCCTAAATGGGTCTGACGCTTATACTGCAAAATTGTTAATTTATTATAAACAGAATGCTATAATCTCCACTTTCATTACATTTGGTACATTTTATTATTCAAATTGTATGTGTGAATGGTGCTGTAAAACTGTGTGCAGCAGCTGCCCCCACACAGACTTCCATGATGGGAACAGCTGGTTATAACTGGTTCACTAAACCTTTGGAAGAAGACGTGGGCATTTCACAGATGCTGCCAATGTTACAGAGGAAATAGCGTGGCTGCCAATCCAAGGTTTTGGTTTCTCACCGTAGCTCCAACCACTTAAAATATGACTGTGCTCTAGAACTTGATCTCCCCTGTTGAACTGTTTGGTTTTATTCCATTGTAATTCGTATTGTTAAAGCATCTGTTCACCCATATTTGTAGAAGTAGGCCTTAATGTTGATTTGATCAACAGTTGGAAAGTTTATATTGTAAGCCTTATGGTCGATGTAATTATTTGTTCGAAAAGTTCTGTTCCAAGCTCTTCTCTCTTTCGGCTAAGAGTGTGTTTCCTGCTGAAGGATTCATAAAGATGGCAAGTAAGAATTGATGGTCTTAATGTCCTGCGCCAGATCATCTTGTAGACATGTTAACTGTGTCGGAAAGGGAGTACATTCTCTGTCTTTAGACACATCCTCTTTGCTTACTTTACACAAGTATACTGCCTCTTAAAGAGTTTTACAACATTATAACCTTTAACTTCAATGTCATGAGTGTTCAGGTATTTCGATTCAATACATTTTCATATTTTTACAGTTGCCCCATTATGCTCATTTTCCATGCTTCAATGTTCAATAAGTGGTTTATTGTTCTCATATTGCCTCCTACTGTATAATGCCTACCTCTTTTCACCCGGTCTGAGCCCTCCGCAGAGAAACTCCCTCTGGATGGATCTTTGTGATTTTAGACTTAGCAGACAATTTACATGCACAAAAACCTATATAACACACTACAGGAAAGGGACAACCTAGAAAGCACAATAGCACCTCTTTGACAACGCTGCTGTACAGCAATTGTACGTTGTTTTTAAGTTGAGAACACAAGTCATTTACTGCACATGCCCGTTAAGACAGTTTTGTAGCATATTTTCAGGTCGTGTGACTCAGACGATCCCAGCTGGAGCTATGGCAAGAGTGGATCCCGCCTCTAAATACCAACACAAATGAATTATTCATCACCTCCACACACTACTGGTTTCTAAACAGGGGGTACAGGGGACTGAGGCTCACAGCTAATGTCTAGACAAATTGAAGTGTGGGTATTTGAAGGTTCACAGCTCGAGGAAGAGACTTTTAGAAGCAGCTATCAGGTGTCAAAGTCTCTTATATGGTATTGCGGGGGTGCAGGGGCGTCCCTGAGCCCTGGTGGTGCTCCCTTCATGTCTCTCCACGGAGACTCCTCACCAGAAGCAACGAGAACCTCAGCATGTGGAAAATGTTTGTTTGTATCGGCACGCTGTTAGGCCTGCTCTTGGGCAAATACCAGAGCGGGGTCTCAGAGGTTACAGCTTCTTGCTATACATAGTTCCAGGCTGTTATGATCTGTCACATTACCAATAAGTCAGAGTTGAAAACACTCAGGTGTATGGAACATGGCCAAAGACAATGTTAGCAACAACAATCTTTGACAGTAAACGGAGAAAGTCACATGTCTGCGTGGTGTCAACAGCTCCTTCAATGTGACCTTTGGTTGGTCAATATGGTCCCACGTCAGCTGTATATCTGCACAAAGATATACATCTATCATCAATACCAACATAACCTTTTAAAGCAAACAGAGACATATATTACCAAATAAAAGAGACAGGCAAGTATTTACATGTGTATGTCGTTATGTTATTTAAGTATCCAGATTTTTGTTAATTTGAGTTATTTGATAGTTTAATGAAGCTTATTTCACATCTTTTAAGTGTCTTTCTCTCTGTTTTAATGTTTAATTTACTCATAAGTCTGTTAGGATTTCATTTCATTATTGCATCTGTTTAGCTTGCCAATTATTTGTATATCTTTATTTAATTGTTTATCTGTATTGTCTTTCTATGTTTTGGACCCTGGGTAAACTAGAGGCATATCCATGCACGTTTTAAGGGGGTCACTAAATACAAATTAACAATATAGAATATGAGCTGCATGTAATGCTTTAAAAGGACCGTGTGTCTGTGGTCACAAGCTCAGGGAGGCAACAATCCCCTTCCCATCTATTGGCTGTTCAGGGCTGTAGCGAGTGTGGCAAGAGGGTTAGACCGTATATACAAACAAGTCCAAGTGTGTATTTCTCAGTTTATAAAATGTATATCACATTTAATCAGGTTATCAATTTACCAATGTATTTCAATTGTGTTGCACAGTTTTCTTCAAACAGCAAGGACTTAAAATCCTCTGCTATTTCTGTTTGCCTAAAATTACAATTAAGACTAAAACTAATAATCAAAGATTAACAATACAATACAACACATATTTCAAGAAAAAAAAATACTAAATATTTATCTTTGTGCTCTGCTCTAACATGAAGATTAAAGTAATAACCTTGAAGATTGTTATTTTAAGTCAATGTCGGTTGAGTCACTATCTATTGCCAAATGTAAGTGATTAGGCCTATAGCCCTTGATAAAAAAAACTAACATTGCATTTGCATTATAACAAACTGTGTCTGTGGCGATATTACCTCGAAAAAGTCAGACCTAAAAACACCACATGGATGCCCCCCCCCCAATTTTTTTTATTGAAAACCATCGTCCTGTCTTTGTGTCTCTGCAGTGCAAGTTTAGCTGCTGATAGCAGGGTTTTCATTCACATGCATATTCACAGGCAGATTATGTCTCAAATCAAATCAAATCAAGTTTTATTTATATAGCACATTTTTAAACGATTTTTGGTCGAGCCAAAGTGCTGTACATATAATAATGACCTTACAGTAATGTAATGCATTCACTTCATAAATGATGAAACATGACACGCCCCGTAGCCACTATTCATAACAAAAAGTTTCACTCTCAAGATCTGTGATTCTGGCCGTGATATTATTTTAATTAAGTAGCATTGCGCTAGATTCTTGATGTTTTGGATCAACGTTTGTCAATCAGATTTTTTTGTTACAGTTTATCCAATAGGGATACCAACAATTCTTTTTGAACGAGTATGTGATTTGGTAATTTCTAGCCTGTAGCCTATACCAATAACACATTTACCCAAAAACCAATATAGGAATAGTTTTAAAAAGTTTGTGGTAAGTGTAAAAAATAGGCCGGTATTTGACCGAAATACTTTGGTTAATAATAAACCTTTTTAATTGTGTTGCTGCTTTGTTGCATTTTTTCACACTATGCTATATCAAGTTTCCTTTCTGTTATTCTCTCACATGCTTGATGCAGAAATATGTGACAGCAGTCAGTTCTTATGTCACATATAGGTCTCTACAGTCATGTGAAAGAGGTCAGCTAAATGTGGCTAGCAAGTATATAAAAATAGTTTAAGAAAATATTTTGGGAGGGATGCAGCCACCCATGTTTTCTTTTACTATTCATAAGGAATCGACACCTTATGAGTAGTTTGTGAGCATAGACTTCCTGCAGAATGGCTCAAGCCATGACTATGATTCACAGAAAGTGCTTTGCTTCTTTGAATCCTTTAGGTTCAAAGATAACTATGAACTCAAATGCTGACACGTTCACCTTATTATCAACAAAATCCAGTCATTAAGCTGTACATTGGTGCCACCAGTGATGCATTTGCTTCACTTACGACGGTAACACAGCCCCATAGGGCCAGGTATTCAGGGACACACAGTTCAGGACATAGCCGAAGATAAAAGAATGACAACTTTAATAACGACCTGTCACAGAGACTTAACACTGGGCTATACATGTTACAAAAAAGCCAGCTATGCATTCCTCAACACCCAACCGTCTCACGTGATGCAGGTAGGAGGCAGGTTGGTGACTCCATCTCCTAAAAATAAGAGCCGTGAAGCATCCTGTCTGTGTGTAGCACGTCATGAATGCAGGCTGCAGTCCTCATAAACACTGTTGTCTAAAAAGGTCAGTGTAACCCAAGTCATATGTTTGATTAATCAATTTTTCCATGCATACATTTTAATGTATTTTCCCAGCTTTGTGGGGACACTAAGCAGGCATTTTAAATAGAAGTAAGGCGCATGGTGGACAGAAAATGCAAACCTCATGCCAGGTTGCTCGAAGTTTATTTTTATCA